CATTACATTTATACACTTGTAAATAAATTACATAAAACAATTATACAGGTACATACCTTTTTCAGGAATAAGAGATTTTGAGTTTTTTGATTTCAACCAACTGCTATTACTATCAGAAAATTGTTTGACRATTTCACTTCTTATGTTCTTAGTAGTATCCGACTCTTCATTACTTTCTAGAAAATACAAATTTAATAACTTTAACATTAATCAAATTCAATTATTTTTAAATATAATACATAAYAGCCTATACTAAATCAAACTATTCCAATCATTAACTGTCAAAGTTAAATAAGTTGTGATRATATTAAAAGTATTATAAAACTATACATATTTGAATTCATATAAGATGTTTAAAACATTGTTAATTGAACAATAAAATATATTATAGTAATTATTTATCTTAGATACATAACAAAATTTTACCTACTATACTGTATTATACAAAAATTTAGGTGCATATAACTATTTTGTACATACTTAATGTTCAATATACATAGTAAAACACAGAAATTCTTACTTTTAACATTATCATCATTTTTAACACCTTTCTTCTTTTCTTTTTTGATTAATTTTCTCTCTTCTTTTTTCTTAGTTCTTCTAGAAGCCCGCTGTTTTTGTCGATGACTTAACTTTTTTGGCTCATCATCTCCTAAGAAATTGTAAAAATAGTATTAGTTGGAATAATTTGAAATAATAATAATTATAAAGTATATTACCCTCGAGTTTTGGAAGTCCTGGTAGCATTTTAGGGGGTTTTTGTTTTTTTGCTTTACGTCCAGGTCCTTTGATTTGTTTTACAGCCCCGTCATCACCGAATTTCGCTTTTCTTCCCATATTTCTATCACAAAATTATAGCTATACAACACAACAAAAATAAATTGACAATCTTACGTAAACGTTACAACAAAAYGCAGAATTAATATGCAAATATGCAATTAATAGCATGAACACACGACAGTACCACATAGGCACATAGGCGCACATTACCACACGAGGTTTTGTTTGTAATTTGTTTAGTGATAAGAATTAAGAGATACGAGTTACGAATATACAATTTCAGAGAGATTGTATGTCTTAACAATATC